CTGTGGGATCTACTGGAGCTGCCGCATCATCTGATGTTGTCGAATCAACTGGAGCGAGTGCAGGGTCAACTGGACCAGTTACAGGATCAACAGGAGCAGCTGCAGGGTCAGTAGCGGCGGGAGCATCTACTGGAGCTCCTGCTGGGGCTGCTGCTGGATCAGCTGGAGCAGCTACTGGGTCAACCGGTGCAACTGAAGGATCAACAGCGGCTGTGGGATCTACTGGAGCTGCAGCATCGTCTGATGTTGTTGTGTCAACTGGAGCTGAGGAGCTTGGAGAAGCAGCTGTTGAATCAACTGGAGCGAGTGCAGGGTCAACTGGACCTGAAATAGGATCAACAGGAGCAGCTGCAGGGTCAGTAGCGGCGGGAGCATCTACTGGAGCTCCTGCTGGGGCTGCTGCTGGATCAGCTGGGGCAGCTACTGGGTCAAACCGGTGTAACTGCAGGATCAACCGCGGCTGTAGGATCTACTGGAGCTGCAGCATCGCCTGATGTTGTTGTGTCAACTGGAGCTGAGGAGGTTGGAGAAGCAGCTGTCGAATCAACTGGAGCTAGCGCAGGGTCAACTGGACCAGTTACAGATCAACAGGAGCAGCTGCAGGATCAGTAGCGGCGGGAGCATCTACTGGAGCTCCTGCTGGGGCTGCTGCTGGATCAGCTGGAGCAGCTGCTGGGTCAACCGGTGTAACTGCAGGATCAACCGCGGCTGTAGGATCTACTGGAGCTGCAGCATCGCCTGATGTTGTTGTGTCAACTGGAGCTGAGGAGGTTGGAGAAGCAGCTGTCGAATCAACTGGAGCGAGTGCAGGGTCAACTGGACCAGTTACAGGATCAACAGGAGCAGCTGCAGGATCAGTAGCGGCGGGAGCATCTACTGGAGCTCCTGCTGGGGCTGCTGCTGGATCAGCTGGAGCAGCTGCTGGGTCAACCGGTGTAACTGCAGGATCAACCGCGGCTGTAGGATCTACTGGAGCTGCAGCATCGCCTGATGTTGTTGTGTCAACTGGAGCTGAGGAGGTTGGAGAAGCAGCTGTCGAATCAACTGGAGCTAGCGCAGGGTCAACTGGACCAGTTACAGGATCAACAGGAGCAGCTGCAGGATCAGTAGCGGCGGGAGCATCTACTGGAGCTCCTGCTGGGGCTGCTGCTGGATCAGCTGGAGCAGCTAGTGGGTCAACCGGTGCAACTGAAGGATCAACAGCGGCTGTGGGATCTACTGGAGCTGCCGCATCGTCTGATGTTGTTGTGTCAACTGGAGCTGAGGAGCTTGGAGAAGCAGCTGTCGAATCAACTGGGGCGAGTGCAGGATCAACTGGAGCGAGTGCAGGATCAATAGGAGCAGCTGCGGGATCAGTAGCGGCGGGAGCATCTACTGGAGCTCCTGCTGGGGCTGCTGCTGGATCAGCTGAAGCAGCTAGTGGGTCAACCGGTGCAACTGAAGGATCAACAGCTGCTGTAGGATCTACTGGAGCTGCAGCATCGTCTGATGTTGTTGCGTCAACTGGAGCTGAGGAGCTTGGAGAAGCAGCTGTTGAATCAACTGGAGCGAGTGCAGGGTCAACTGGACCTGAAATAGGATCAACAGGAGCAGCTGTAGGGTCAGTAGCGGCGGGAACATCTACTGGAGCTCCTGCTGGGGCTGCTGCTGGATCAGCTGGAGCAGCTAGTGGGTCAACCGGTGCAACTGAAGGATCAACCGCGGCTGTAGGATCTACTGGAGCTGCAGCATCGTCTGATGTTGTTGTGTCAACTGGAGCTGAGGAGGTTGGAGAAGCAACTGTTGAATCAACTGGAGCTAGCGCAGGGTCAACTGGACCAGTTACAGGATCAACAGGAGCAGCTGCAGGATCAGTAGCGGCGGGAGCATCTACTGGAGCTGCTGCTGGATCAGCTGGAGCAGCTAGTGGGTCAACCGGTGCAACTGAAGGATCAACAGCGGCTGTAGGATCCACTGGAGCTGAAGCATCGTCTGATGTTGTTGTGTCAACTAGAGCTGAGGAGCTTGGAGAAGCAGCTGTTGAATCAACTGGAGCGAGTGCAGGGTCAACTGGACCTGAAATAGGATCAACAGGAGCAGCTGCAGGATCAGTAGCGGCGGGAGCATCTACTGGAGTTCCTGCCGGGGCTGCTGCTGGATCAGCTGGAGCAGCTACTGGGTCAACCGGTGCAACTGAAGGATCAACAGCGGCTGTAGGATCTACTGGAGCTGCAGCATCGTCTGATGTTGTTGTGTCAACTGGAGCTGAGGAGCTTGGAGATGCAGATGTTGAATCAACTGGAGCGAGTGCAGGATCAACAGGAGCGAGTGCAGGATCAACTGGAGCAAGTGGAGGATCAACTGGACCAGTTACAGGGTCAGCAGGAGCAGCTGCAGGATCAGCAGAGGCGGTAGCATCTACTGGAGCTCCTGCTGGTACCGGTGCTGGATCAGCTGGAGCAGGTATTTGGTCAACCGGTGCAATTGAAGGATCAACAGCGGCTGTCGGATCTACTGGAGCTGCCGTATCGTCTGATGTTGTTGTGTCAACTGGAGCTGAGGAGGTTGGAGAAGCAGCTGTTAAATCAACTGGAGCTGCAGCTGGATCAGCTGGAGCAGCTACTGGGTCAATCGGTGCAACTGAAGGATCAACAGCGGCTGTGTCAACTGGAGCTGAGGAGCTTGGAGAAGCAGCTGTCGAATCAACTGGAGCGAGTGCAGGATCAACTGGAGCGAGTGCAGGATCAATTGGAGCGAGTGGAGGATCAACTGGACCAGTTACAGGATCAACAGGAGCAGCTGCAGGATCAGTAGCGGCGGGAGCATCTACTGGAGCTGCTGCTGGATCAGCTGAAGCAGCTAGTGGGTCACCTGGAGCAACTGAAGGATCAACAGCGACTGTAGAATCTACTAGAGCTGTACCATCGTCTGATGTTGTTATGTTAACTGAAGCTGAGGAGCTTGTAGAAGCAGCTGTCGAATCAACTGAGGCGAGCGCAGGGTCAACTGAGGAGACTACGGCATCCACAGAGGCAGTAGGATCTATTGGAGTAGCTGCTGGATCTGCAGGAGCGGCAGCTGGTTCAACGGCAGCAAGTGTAGGATCTCCTGAAGCAGATGCAGGATCAGCTGTTGCTGAGGTATCTGCAGAAAGTATAACATCAACTGGAATTACAATGTCATCTTGGGCTACCGCGTCAGTCGGGGACGCTATTTCTGTAGGAATGGTTGATTCGGCAGTAGCTGCTACATCCACTGAAATTGCAATATTATCTTGTACCGTTGTGTCTACTGGGACACCAGCATCAACTTGAGGTACTGGATCTACAAGTACTATGTCATCTGCTGGAACCAATGCTTCTACTGCAATTGCAGTATCAGTATTTGATTGAATGGCAGGATCTACTGATACGGCAGGATCTGCTGACACTGCAGGATCTACTGATACTGCAGGATCAACTGCCACTGCAGGATCTACTGATACTGCAGGATCAACTGCCACTGCAGGATCTGCTGAGGCGGCTACATCTGTTGGAACGACTGCGGTATCTGCTGCTGCGATATCAACTTGAAGTGTTATGTCACTGGGCGCAGCAACGTCTACTGGAACTGCTGGTTTTGTTGGAACTGCTACATCCACTAATGGAACTGGATCTATTAAAGTTGCTACATCATCTATTGCAGATAATGCGAAATCTAGTGGAGCGGCAGCAACTGCAGGCCCCTCTGTTATGGGATCAGATTTTATTATGAATTCTGGTTCCGGTACTGATAGAACTGGTTCAACTGATATTGATACCGATTTTGGTTCTGTTGGTGGTATAGAGGAATCAGAAACTGCAATGCTGACTGGGCTTATGGGTGATCCTGTTGCTAATGCGCCAAACTGTAAGTACAGAATATTCACATAATGATTTCATCAAATATCAAGCAAACACAGTGCTTGGAAAGTGTCATTTAAATCTAAGGTTAAACTGAAGTTAATATTTTATTACACAATATTATTTTCCTGTACATTATTATTGTATCCACAAGATATCAAAAAACAAAAATGATTTTATAATACAATTTTTTTATTTAAATTTTTTTGTTAAAACTTGCATAGTTTGCCGATGATGTGCTGTTTTCGTACGTTTCAATTTGAATCCACGAAAGTATCACAAGTAAAAGCTTGTTAGTTTTGTTAGGTTAAGTGCAGTATTTTGTTATAGTTATTATGTTAGGTACAAGATGTTTTGTTTGTTTAACACACACACACACAAATAGAAAAGAGAGCACTGATTAAAATGGCGTTTCCATGTTATTGCAAATAAAAAATTACCACTAGCAGGATAAAGAATCCGATTAATTTAGAAGTTGCCATCGTTTTCGTTCGAATGTAACTTTGTTACTGATTTCTATCTGATAATGCAAGGATGCTTTTAAAGCAAAAATTTATATTTTTCATTAAATATCTTATCTTTTGCAAGTTTGTTTTTTGATGTTGCAGTATCAATAGCTGTATTTCATGAGAGATTTTATATCTTATGCGGTATATAAGATAAACAAGATAAAATAATTATGTTCAATTTTCTTTTTTTGTGTTTGGATTAAGTCTCAGTTAAATATAATCGTGCGTGGAATATGATTCATTCATTCATAATTGTTTTTATTGCATTTTCTTACTTATAAGAATTCAATAGAACGAAGTATGTTGTTCTTTAGATATTTCTTTTTTTACGTCATTAACTTTGATTAACATCATTATTATGTTTGTCTTAGAGTTTTATGAATGAAATCGTTACGCTTTGATGTGTTAAAAAAAAAAATTGTAGTGAAGCTTTTTATTCACACAATTTAATATTAAACATATTATTTAGCTAATTTCTACAGAATTTTTTTTTTACTTATATTGTGTGCTTTAAGTGCAGTGAGGGTACACTTTTGTCTTTTAATTTTTGATTTATTTCATATTTTTAGCACAGTTAGCCATCACTTTATTTATAAACTATACATATATAAAACATAAAAATATATGGGACTTAACTTAATTATAAATTAAGATATTTTCGATTTTTAATTTAATAACTTTAGCAAATACTATTGTAGACACAATAGTGATATGTGAAAAATAGTGATTTTGTAAAGAAAATTTCAGTAAATAATAAGTCTTAAGATAAATACTTCCTTTCAAGGAAAACTAATACAATTAAGTTGGAGATTTAAAGTCAAATATACTTGGTTCTTTATTCCAAAAAGGTCTTGCCCACGGATAAACGCCCGCTAATGTATCAGGAAATAGATAAACAGACAAATAGAGCTCCAATCAACATAAGTTCTAACAGATCGTACTAATCTTCAAGACTGTCAAAATTTGTTCTGGAATATATTTTGCTTCTGTCACTTTCCAATAATCTGTGGAATATTCTTATAGAATATTCGAACATTACCTTGTATGCAAGTTTTTGTTGTTATATGTAATTATTTTATATAAAACAAAACAAAAATATAATAATACATTCAGCACAAAGTTGTCGGATTTTTAATAATATTTTTGATATAATAGTGTCGTTTGAGATTAATTTAAAATCTAACAAACAATGAATTATTTCAACTATATATCATCTATATTTCAATATATAAATTTAATTTGATAAAAGTATGCTCTCAAAATTAAAGATTTAGAAACAATATAAGAAATTAGTAATGTACGTTTTTTAGTATTTTAATTTTAAAACTGATTCACTACTTAAATTGCAGAAAGTCAATGACTCTGTCTTTAAGTATGTCTGACATGAGCAAATATAAAAAGATTATATTCTTTACTGCTCACGTGGGTAAATAATAAGTCACTTGATAAGTCCGTAGCACAATCAATAAAACAACAACTTTTTGGCAAAATTCAAATTTATTCACCAAGGTAGTTTCCTTCAAAAGTAATACAATCCTTTTAGGACTTCTCTAAGTTTTTCTCTATTGTAGAATAGTTATTGTAGAATAGCAATTATAGAATAATCTTTGGCCTTAAAATTTGACTGCTAATATATCATCCTTCGGATTTATTAGCCGATGTGTTAGTAAAATATTTGATCACGATTGTGTAAGACAAGAGAAGAACTGACTAAGTGATAGTCACTAACCTATCTAACCTAACCTGATCTATACTACAATTTAGAAGTTTTTTAGAAGTCACCAACCAATCTAACCTAACCTGACCTATACAATTTAGAAGTTTTTTATTTTTTAATTTGAATGTCGGTGTTACCAAATAAATATATGTATATAACAGAATATTTTATACATATATGTGCATTTAAATTAAATATAATATAATAACTCCTAATATTTCTGTTTTTATATTTTCACGTTTTTTTTACTTATTTACTTATTTTTTTTTTATTTTATATTTTTTATATTTAATTTTTAAAATTGTTTGGATATCATAATGAGTTCGCATTTCCTTTCGCACTATCAGAATTCATTTATAATATAAACAACGGCATTTGAGTTTACTACCGGAAATACTTTCTCCAAAACTAAATTAAAATAAATGCTAAAATATTTACAAGTGTGCAGTTCTATTTAGTATATTTATTTAGTGTTTCAGTATAAAACAAAAGTTTAATGATTTAAATTTATTTTCCATACATACGAGTTTGTTTGCACACCGTTTTTTAAATACGTATAAATTTTAATTATATTTGCTTATATTTCAGATAAGCCATGAATCGAAAAGATAATGAGCAAAACTCATTTAAATATAGTACATACGAGTATGGTATATAACATACAATAGAATTTTATGTAGATATATCTGTAATAATTTTCAATGTGTTTTCAAGCGTGTTATGAATATATGGCAAAGATAAAATTGTTATTAGAAATCAAATAGCAAAATAAGTTTAAAAAAAGTTGCAAATGAGCTGCAAATATTATTTGTTACAAAGTTTTTCATTTACAAAATAAATTAATAATAAATTTAATTGTTACTTTTGTAAACAATTGATAATAAATGATATATAATAGGAAAAAATATTCACGACATTTGTTTACATGAGGTACACATATAAAACTTACGAAAAGTAAATAATGAGTTAACGATATTAAAGGTTTTTTCAAGTTAGATTTGTAATTTAGATAAATCTATTAAAAATTGTTTATTTTACGCCGCCATGTGTGATAGGAAACATAAGATAAATAACTGAGATCCTTTAGAAGATTGAATCTTTAAGTGAAGTAATATATCATATTAATGAATTATTGCGGTGAATATTGGTTTATAGTTACTCTTAATTGAAACAATGATTTGGATTGATATGATCTAGTCATATATTTCACATCATGTAGTTCTGTAATAATTCCAAGCTTAGTAAAATCATAAGTTCCAAAAGGTCTTGTGTTAAAAAATCCAGCGAGTACACTGGCTGTGCTGCACATCTTGCGAAAATGGATGATAAGGATACAGCTAAAAAGATGTTGTCAACGGTATCCTCAGGGGAAACCTCAGTAGATTTCTAGGTTTGAAAGATTAAATACTGATAGATCTGTCTACGCTTAATATTTCTAATTAGCGTCAACGTTTAGAACGAAATGGTTACTGACGGTGAAATTCGAACATAACCAAAACCGATATACGATTATAATAGCTAATTAACTAAATTTATTGATTGGTCGTTATAATATCAAAAACTTGTTGTATTATGATAGTTGAATTAAAATTAAACCATATAATTGTTTTTAGCTGGTTTATGATTTTGTTCTAATAAAACATAGCATATGAATTCGTTAATAAACTTTCACAAAAAAATACAACCAGAATTTAGAATAATATAAGTCAAGTATGTCTTAGTTTCAAATGACAAGGTCATTTCAGTGCTTGCAGTCCATAACAATTAATTGCGAATAATTAAATATAATAGATATTTCCAAAAATACCACTAATAATGGCAATACTTGAAATAGTTTTATAATCAACCAAAAATTCAATTAATTGAAAATAAAATTTTTCTGTTCACTATAATCCAATATAAAACGTATAAACTAGATAGATATAGTACCGCAGATCGCAGATCTGGTGTTCTTCGCAGACCATTATTTATATGAAACTTATTTGTAATATCTATTTTTGTTAAGCAATTTTAAGTTCGATTGAAGAAATGTTGTAGATATTTAGGTATTGGGAGTGATATAAGTCTCAAATTATAGGATAGGCTTTGAACCATAGATAATTACGTAAAAAGATTAGTTACAGTATTTTATAATTTACAATTTAATGAAAAAAAAAAAATCAATATATTATTTGGAACATTGTGGATGTTAAGAACTTTACTTTATGTAAGATGAGCAAAAGATAAAGCTTCTATAAAAGTATTTTATATGTATTAAAAAAAAACTTTTCAAGTAACACATACAAAATAGAAGCATAATGTACATTAATATGTTAATCGTTTTCAATGTTAAAAAGTACCAGCTAAGAGCACTAAAGAAATCTTTCACAAAATCTTTAAATTTTTTTTTAATATTAAAAAGTGATAGTTTACAGCACTTAAAAATTTAAAAAAAAAAAAAAATTTTAATGAAAAAAACAAATATTTTAACAAAATTTATAGTATATTTATTTATAGTATAACGTATTTCATATGTTCACAAGTGACAACATTTATTTAGGTATGAATAACAACGATAAATAGTCGTGTTATCAGATCTTTTTTGCTTTTTGCACCACTTCAAATATTGTATTCAGAACTTATAATTTGATTTTTTTTTTGGTCGTCTTTTTTTTTTTGTGCTTGACTTTTTATGATTTAATGATGACATTATTTCTGCTAAAACGCCGAAATGTCACACAAAATGGTCCATCAGTTTCATTATAAATTGGCTAAAAGCTAAAATGTTCATAATTCAAGCGCACGTTGCATTTGAATTGATTAATGATGCCGCAAGGCAACAACATAATCGCTGATTCGCAATTCAATCAGGACCAAAATTCGCATCCTTAAATATACAAAATGATACGGAATTGTCGCATGCCATTGTATAGTATGTATTTTGTTGGCTTAACTTATGGCTCTTTTTGGCTGGCCATTAATCATGGCGAATATCCGGGAGGAGTGGCCAAACACATAAACATGAAATGCAAATTTCATACAATTATTATTGTAATTTATGTTTTTGAATTCAATTTCTTACGAGTGACACATAAAAAGTTCAATTATTCATTTTCGTACTTCAAAATCAAAAGAGCAATCATATATGTTATACAAAAATATTACTATTAAACCATGAATAGCGATATTGTTGTTTTGAAGTACTTTGCTTTTATGAGATAAAATTTTTATTTATTTTTTAAATAATAACTAGATAAATTAACTTAATTGCAGTCATAATATGTTTGCAGAGTCGACCAAAGGAAGTGGTTCTCCATTTATTCTTAAACAAAAAGGATGCACA